ATTTATTTATTTATTTATTTGGATATTTACTTCCAGTCACCTCACTGAAATAAGCATAGATTTATAAGAACATCTGCTTTCATTTTATCCAGCTGAAAACATAACTTTTCCAAAAGCCTACAAACTTTTATGAATGGTTTAAATTTAAGGTAAGGATGAATTCCTGTTCTTCAAAAAAAAAAAAAACCCAGATTTTTTTGGAAATCTGTTAGGCCTTCTCCCTTATTTGTCAGATTTTCCTCTATTGGAAAATGATTGGATAAATTATAGAAGCTGACTCATATTACTACTGTTTTGTATTTTACTCATAACAAAACACTCTAAACTCTATTAGGTGTTCACAACCATATGTCTACAAATAAAAGCCACATAAATCCTTTTGAAACTGTGAAAATTCCTGGAAATTTATTCAAGTTGTTTCATAGGTAAAACTAGTTACACTGTTAGGATCATCTGTATAAGATATTGCATGTTGTAGCAATCTATAGAGGAGGTTTTTTTTAAAGTATTAGTTGACAAAAATGTTTCATAGGATCCTCTGACGAAAATAAACGTAACTTCCTGAGATAACCTCCTACAAATCTGAACTGCATTAAATGAATTTGGTCACTGAATTCTCAAAGGCAAATAGCTCAACAATTTGATGTCGGTTACTATGTCTGCTTAAATGTGAATATGTATTACTGCTGGTAGCTCCATTCAGTACCAATCTAACACTTATTGTCGAAACTGTGTTGAAGGTACTACAAATTCAACAGTCATTTGACAAAACGAAAATAAGCAAAGGGGGGGGGGGAGTGAGCCAGTTCTTCCTGGACAAAACTTGTCCTATTTTCAGTTACACCAGTTGAATACCAAGATTCAGAATCACAGGTGCATCTGCTGTGCAAACTGCCCATCTTGGCAACTTTCCTGCCCTCCTTCAATGGAGTTGATTTTTTTAAATTTATTTTACTCAATTTGGAACCCAACATTCCCACACTCCAGATTTAGCTTTACAACCCAATTAAGTCAATCATCCTTAAATAAATCATTTCCCCCGCATCCCCTTAGCCGTTAGCTAAGTCATCTCGGGTCCAACTCTACCAGGGGCTCAAACTGCTTTGGGGGTCGCCGGAGCAGCGACAGATTTCGTTTTGGAGGTACAGCATCGATCACCCGCACGGGTGCACATTTTTAACTGCAACTCGCCCCTTTAACTCCGGAAATGCCCAAGGCTTGCTGTACCTGCCCCAATTCAAGCTCATCTCTCTTTCCTTTCACGGACATGACAGCGCAGAAAGCAGAAGCATCGCCTGCAAGCAAGGCAGGCGGAGAGAAACCGCGTCGCCCGTACCTTCTTCACGTTCCGGGGCGGCCGGCGACGGTGCTGTCCCTCGCCGCCTCTCCAAACTCTCCTCTTAAAAAATGACACGCCTGACCCCACAAACCTCCCGCTTGAATCTCCCAGAGCTCCGGAGCGGCCGGAAAGCCCCGGCAGGTTCCCTGGTTACCGAGGGCAACAATCCCAGCCCAGCGACAGCCGCGTACACGCACACGCACACACACATACACATATATATAAACGAACACCCAGACGCGCACGCAGCCACCGAGAGGTATGGCAGTACTGCACCTAGCAGCGAACGGGTCTCGGGAAGCCCCGCCTCTTTCTCGCCTCCCTTAGCGGAGCACGCAGGGCTCTTCTTCCTCCAGCGTCTGGCTTTTTTTTTAACTCCCTGCTCGGGAGGGAGGCTAGAAAGGAAGGCAGGCAGGAAAGAGAGCAGGTGCGTGCGCCTCTATTAGGACTGGGAGGGGGGGGGGAGAGGGAGAAGTGGAACTCAACGGCCTCTCCGAGATAAGGCTGAGAAGAGAAGCTGCGCCAGAGCCAGGCCGGACGGGTCTGGGCCAGCGGGCACGCGTGATGCCGTCCTATGGCGCCGTGCAGGCTCGGCGTGCCCTATTTGAGTCCGAGGAGCCAAGCGCGCGCCTACAAGGGAATGTTTCCCTGTGGCAATTCCCCGCCAGCGCAGTTATTGGGGCATTTGTGGCCCGTCGGGAGCGGATTCTCTCCCTCCCTTTCTATCTCCCTCCCTCCCTCTCATCCCCTCTCTTTCTCTCCCTCCCTCCGTTTCTTTCTCTCCCCCTCTCTCTTTCTTCCCCCTCCGCAGAAATATTCCTCTGCCTTCTCTTTAATCGAGCGGTTTAGCCGCAGCGTGTACAATACAATTCGTGGCTAGGACGAGCGTGTAACGTTTCGGGGGGGGGGGGAGTATGATGTATATGTATATACATATATATAGGAGGAGAAAGAAGAACCTCCATTTTTTTATACCAGGGCAGTGAGCCTCTCGCGTGACCGAGCTACATCGAAGAGGAGCGAGTTACGGTTTGGGTAGCAAACGTGCGCCTCGCTTTCCGAAGGGCCACCCAAAAGAGGAACCCCTGCAAACAACAACAACAACCCCGATTCATTTCTTCCACTTGCACTTGAAATGTCAGGTGCACATCACATACTTTCACTCTGCTTAACATAGCAAGTCGTGGCATCTTAAGTCTCACTACTTTTATAGGTAGACCTGGCGATGTTGTCTCTTGGTCTGCCTCTCATGAAACTGATAGTCCTTGACTGAGCATCGCGATTGGGACCAGAATTTCCGTTGGCAAGCAAGGGCGAACCTCTCACGCTTTTAATCTTTTTTTTCCTCTTTGGGCCATGGTTGGTAAGTGACTCCTTGCAGTTGTTAAATGATTCCTTGCAGTTGTTAAGTGACTCACAAGGTTGTTAAGCAAATCTGGCTTCCCCTATTGACTTTGCTTGTCAGTAGCCATCTGGGAAAGTTACAAATGGTGATCACATGACCCTGGGACACTGCAGCCATCATAAATAAATGCCAGCTGCCAAGCATCTGAATTTTGATCATGTAACACTGGGGAGGCTGCAACTCTCCTCTTAAGTGCAAGGACAGGCTGTCAGCCACTTTTTTCATTGCCATTGTAACTTGGAATGGTCACTGAACAAATGATGATAGATCGAGGATCCGCTGTGCAGCCTTCCCTTTCTGAGATTCTTTTCCCCCCTGATTTTTGTTTTGCATTATTTATTTATTTTTTCTATAAAGCTTGTTAAGAAAAGCACATATATTTATTGGTAATAAAATTGTTCTGCAGATTGTTGTGCTTCTGTACTTTTCATACGACACATGTTTTTGTGGTGCTTGATAAAAAGGTCATCGATTCTCAATTCCAATCAAAACTGTTTGGGTGTTTGGCATATTTTTTTAATTTTATAAATTTGTGTTTTCCAATAAAGTACTTCAGCCACAAATTCAGTCATTGGTGATTTTAAAACTATACTACTATACTGGAATATGCTTTATTGGTAGTTATTAGGATAATTTGAAAGTACTTCTTGGAGAGGTGGCATTCTGCCAGTTTGCCTGGTTCGGGCGAACCCGTAGTGGCGGCAGGAGGCTCTGCCCACCTGCCAGATGTCATCATGGACGTTCTGCGCATGTGCACAAAGTTCTGCGCATGCACAGAAGCACATCTGAGCGAAGTGAGCACGCACATGTGCACGCTCCCAGTTCTTACCCGGTAGCAAAGGTAAGAGGATTTCATGCCTGACTTCTTCTTTTTTTTGAATTTTTATTATTATTTTAATTAAACAAAAACACACAGACAAAAAATCATCTTTCGTTACATCTTGTAGAAAGCGTATCGATTGGTTACAAATACATTCCGTGCGTTTCTTCCACAATCCCTTGAACTTCATTCAAATCCAATTGTACATTTTAAATCAAAAAAGAAAAATTATGTATTTTACTATCCCTGTACCACAATTTTCATTTAATTACCATTATTTGAACATGTTTTTATCTAGAATCATTTGTATTTAAAGACACAACCACCTACTGGCATTCATTTGCAATTTCAATAAACCTCCAATAACGTTACACCTTTATGACCTATTCTGAAGCAAATTCAGTTAAGTAAGATATCTAAGCATTCCCCCCCCATAAGACACCTATATGTATAATTAAATATTATCCATCAACATTTCTTTATTATTATTATGCCTGACTTCTTGCTATAGCTAGATTAGAGATGCCTTACTGTCTACATCTTCTAAAACAGTATCCCTCAACTCTTCATGGACACATCCTTGTAGTTTTCCAGGCAGCTATACGGAAACCACTCTGCTCTGGAATTTCCCAATCTTAGTATTACTTGGCAAGTCCCAACCAAGTACTAACCAGAGAAAACCCCGCTGGGTCTCCCAGTCCTAACAAATTCCCACTCTGATAGTGTCAACCAAATGCTGCCACCTGCGGGATCCGACCTAGTTTCTCAACTTGGTATGCTCCAAATGTTTGGTTACAACTATCATCATCCTCAACATGGCCATTACCGAACTGGAATATTAGTTCTGCACCATTTTTACCAGTATAAGCAATCTAAAACATTCCATTTGAGTTCTAAGACTAGTTTTTACTGGGAAGCAGAGAGGGGAGTAATCCACTAAATAAGAGAAGTTGTCAACATTGGAAAGAGGTAGTATTGTTTGTCTTGAAAAGGACAGGGATTTGGTATCTTTGGAAAAGGCAATTCCTGTGTTAGACAACTTTGACCTACTGTGCAATCTTCCCATTCTGAGATTCCCGCACCCACTAATTTTGTTTTTGTTTATTTTGCATTTTCTATTTTGTTCTATAAAACTTGTTAAGATAAATATATATTTAATGATCTTTTAACATCAGAATCTAGGTTGATCTGAGGTGGAATGTATGCAGGGAACCAACTTCTAAATCTTTTAGTGGCATTTCATACTACTGGCCACACCTATAAAAGTTTCAGGCCACCCAAAAGGGGTTGATCACTGAATGTAGTAGATGTTTGTAGCCATGTGTGAAATGGAATACTTGTCTTTCTCCACCTCTGTTTAATATTTGCATAAAACTGCTGGGAGAAGTCAGCTAGTAATTTGAATTGAAGTTTAGCAATATATCAATGGTGCTCTAGCTCCTTGATGGCAAACCTATGGCACGTGTGCCACAGGTGGCATGCATTCTCTGCGGGAATGCTGAGAGCGCAGCTCCACTGTGCATGTGTGTGTGCCTCCCACTGGCTAGCTGGTTTTCAGGTTTATGCTATGTGGGGGGAGGGGTGCATGCAGGAGATGTATGTGCATGTGTGGGGCGGGGCAGATGCATGGGGGTCACATGCGCATGCATGGGGGTGGGGCACATGGGTCGCATTATGGGTCCCCACACACTTTTGGCACATGACAAAAAGGTTAGCCTTTACTGCTCTAGCTGGTGATGTATTGGAAATCTAGAACTGGTATTTGAAGGCTGTGAGAATTTGAAAGGGAAAAAAACTATTTAAAATTGAATCCAAGCTAGACAGAATTAACAGAATAACAGAGTTGGAAGGGATCTTGGAGGTCTTCTAGCAGGAGACTCTAGACCAGAGGTCGTCAACCCATGGCTCCGGAGCCGCATGTGGCTCTTTTAACACTCTGCTGTGGCTCCCTCCTTAATTCCTCTGCTGTAGAGAGACTCGGTCGACGCCACTGCTGTTGCTGCCTCCATGGCCAGCTGCTTTCGCAGTGTCTGGCGCAGCACAGTGAAATTGAGCACACTTCACAATGGGGGAGACGGGGTCCCCTCCTCCTCCTGGAGACCATTACGACACGGAGCCACAATGCAACCCTGCCACACACACCCCTGGCAACAGCAGCAGCAGTGTTGGCCATGGTTCAGAGCAGGCCATTGTGTTAGGGTGGAGAGCAGGTTACATGCCCAGCGCCAACAAAGGCCAGAAGTAGCTGTCCACCATTTCCTGCTGCAATCTGTTGGGCACAGAGAGAGACACAGAGACAGATTCAGCTTGATTGGGCTCCGTCTGTTCCCTCTCTCCGACTTTGCTCAGTTTTCCAAGGATTCAGCGGACACTGCTTTGGTGATGGTGTGGCGGGTTGTCCCGTACTGTGCCTGACAAGCATCTTCAGGGACTCCCGGGGACTATATTTCCCAGCCAATTTGGACCGAGTTGCAGGATGCCCAGGCGTCCCTGTGTGAGTGTGCTGCTGCTTGGGATGATGCTTCTCTTAAGTGCATGTGGCGATCTAAGCCGGCCACCTCATGGTGCTGTGCTGTAACAGCCTGACAGTCACTCCTTTTCCAATGCAAGGTTTATTTTTGTATCTTTCCAGAGACATAGAGAATGTAGCTGATGTTCCTGTAGGCTTATTCCCTGGGAAGTGGAGGGTGGGGAGTTGGGGAGAGAGGGAGGGAGAGAGAGAGGTGTGAACAACATACCTGAGGCCAAGTGTGGTAAGAGATGGCTGGGAGTGTAGGGGTGAGGTGGGGCAAATAATTGAACAACCAGTTCTCTGCCCTAATGACCAGCTGGATATGCATGACTGGGGGTGTGGGTGACATGTGACTGGGTGGAGGTGAGTAATATCGAGTTGGCGGACTTCCTGGGAGGAGCCTACTGGTGAAGGCAGCAAAAAATCAGCTGCCTCCGAA